CTTCGTGAGCAATTGTTTCATGAAGCTTTTCAAATGGACTCCACATTTTGACATAAATGTGGAATCTCCCATTGTCCATATTTGGATTTCTTTTCCCTATATGCGTCCTCATCTTTTCTCCCCCTAAATTATGCATGGGTTGGGGTCACTGTTTGAAAGACCTTTGCGAACAGATAATGCGACTGTGAATGGTTTGAGACCTTATGTGGCATTCATATTAGTGGAATTAGATGCTAAGAAACGTTATGCTTCCCAAGTTTTGCTGGGGTCAGAGACTTTTGGTTATGTTTAATCGGTTGAAATGGAAGAGTTTTCGTTGTATTGTTTTCATTGAAAATTATTGGGCCATCTAAGGATTGTTATCTGATCTTATATTTGAATTTGAGTGTTGCTCCTTCTATTAAGGAGGCAATTGCTTCTGAAGTTTTGTCACAGGATTCCCTGGGTTATAATCATAACCCCGATAATGTTTTTGGTGGGGGGAATTTAGGTTATTTGGTAGAAAATCATGCTTGTGTTGAGGTTCAAAAGAAAAATGATGTTGTTCCTTCTTTACTTTGCAATGGAGTGTCTTACCAGCCTCAATGTGATGTCTTCTCAGCCTCAATGTGATGTTGTTTTTCTTAGTCCTACTGATTTTGTTTTACCGCATATTAATAATCTGGAGAAGTTGGATACGCCTTTAATCAACTCTGTTGAGGTGGAGGGGGAAAGTGCTTTGGTTGTGTCAAATGTGGAAATGCAGAGGAATGCTGTGATTACAAGTGGCATGGAAATGAAATTGGCAATACTATGGCTGGTGATGTGGTTTTGCCTATCATTTTAGAGGAATCTATGTTTACCTCTCTCCCATTGGGATTGCTGGTGATATGGATTTGCCTCTGGTTGGTGGGCCTGAGGGAGCTCTTGTCAATATCCCTTTAGTGTTTATGTCTCCTAAAGTTTTGCTTGCTCAATTTGTTTATCCTTCAGGTGTCACTTATTCCAACCTTTCTGATCAGAATAATGTCTCTACTTCTCCATCTTCTGTGGATGGTGATGATTTTGTTGATGTTCAATCGCTTCAGGATTTATACGGCTTAATAGTTGGTAAGGTTGTTGATAAAGCTATTTCGCATGCCACTAAACGCAGGAGGAGAAAATCCATGAAGTAATTCTTGTTTTTGTAGTGTGTGATCTCTTGTATGCATTGCTTATGGTGTTTGTTGTTAATTGTTGCATTGGTGAGCTGTTGGTGTATCTGGTGGTTGTTTATTTGTTTATCATAGGGTTCGAATCTTCTGCTCGATCCATCTGGTATTTTTGGGGTAGCTTTCTCTCCCGTTGTTGTGGTTTTTTTGTATGATTTTGTGAAGGTCTGCCCTCTCCTGTCTAGATGCTTGGAAGCTTACCAAGGTTGGTCGTTGGGCTACTACTTATGGAGTGTTGCTGTTTGTTTCGTTTCACTTTGTTATTTAATCTTTGCTTGGTTTTTATCCTTGTATTAGTTGGATCGATAGCTCGTAGGTTTTTATTCAACTGATGTACTTTTAGTGAGCTTACGTTCCTTTAAGGGTCTGTAATTTTTATTAATATTAATGCGTAGGCCTTGCCGTCGATTTTTACACACAAAAAAGTGATTTTGAGCTCATTTGATTCTTCTTGTTGGGCCGTTTGATTCGACTATAAGCATGTCAAAATTGGAGATTATTTGAACCTCCAATTAATGTCTTTAAACATCCAATTGTACCTCAGACTCTTGATTTGGGCTTGTTTCGGCTCAGATTAGTCACTTTTGATGTCGTTGGTTTTGTTTTGTGGAGACTTTTAGTTCAACAATAAGTTTAAATTTCTAAGACCACAGAGAGCCCCTCCATGTGGTCAAAAGTTTGACGGAAGTTCAATCTCAAGAAAAAAAATAACAAAAGCAGGAAGGATTGCATGCATAATTGAGAATATAGTTACACTAAAAAAATTGATGCTTAAGAAATTCATGATGTGAGAAACAGAAAATGTCAATTAGGATTTGTAGAAATATTATGAGAAGCTAGAGCATCTACAGGTTTGAGGCATCCCACCAAAGCAAGTTAGATGAAACAACTAAACCGCAAAAAGTAAAATTTTCTACCATATAAACTTAATACCAATCCTTAGTTAGAAAGCTTCCATAGTAAGAGTTGATGTAGGCACCAAAAAAAGATAATTTTTAGAAACTTTTCGAGGGAATTCATTAGCACTTGCATTTGTTATTTTAACGACATATAACATATTACCTAAATCATGGGAATAAGGTTGGGAAGCATCATTCACCATATTTGCTTATGGAGGAAAGAAGAATGTAAATATTTAAGTTTGTGTTGACCTTGATTTTGTCACACCTTGGACTTAGAGAGTTGACTTGGTCAAACTGACCAAGCTAGGTCCCAAGACCTCTTCAATCAATTTCTCGGGTCAAACCAAGTATGTTGAGCCCAGGCCCAGAGCCTGGGTCAACCTGGTTGACCCAAATTGACCCAAACTCCTTTACTTGGTTTCAAATCAAATCTAAAGCTTCTTACTTTCATTTCTCTTCACCCTTGGACTCAGTGGGTCAAACCCAATCTACTGGGCCCAGACTTGTGCCCTGGGTCAACTTAGTTGACCATGTCAACCCAGGTTGACCCAATTAGCCTTAATGGGTCTAATTCAATTGCAAATCCATTTCAAACCAATCTCTTGCTCAAAACCCTCACTCCTTTGACCTAATTGACTGGTTTGACCAATTCAAACTATGACTTGGTCAAATTAAGCCCTTAATAGGTCAATTCGACCCATTTAAGCCCGTTAAGACCTTTTTTAATGCATTTAAAGCCCTATTAATGGTCCCTCAATTCAAATCCCGTGATAATCCTCCTATTTTCCTCATAATTGACTTAAAGCTTTAAATAAGAGTTTTAGGGTTTGATGAGGGAGCTTTTTGCAATTACTCTCTCCCTAGAGCCTCTTAGCCCGAGATTTTTCGTGTGAGAGCTCCACATACTCCCTTCTTCCTTCCCTAAGTGAATTTTGATGGTTCCAAGCCGCCACTGGCGAGATCTCTGGCGACCCGAAGGAAAACACCTTCCATGACGTTTTGTGATCGATCCAGATGTTGGGAGCTCGAGGATCCTTTTACAAACTTATTTGTTGACAAACTACAAATTCTGAGAATCCTTAAACGGGTCAAACCGTCCAAAAATCGAGGTGAAATTCTTAAACCTAGGTTAGGACACTTACATCTAAATAGCTTTTAATGTAGAGCTTTTCAGAATGCAAAATCAATTCCTTATTGACGCTCTTCATGTGTAGATTACGTGTTTAAAATTTCATTTGATTTCGTCCACCCGATCGAGAGAAAATGCAAAATTATCCATTAGGGTTTCGGTTTGGCTGGCTATTAGCTACGGATATTCTGGACCGTTGATCTCGTCAATCAATGATACATATCTAGCCTTACCGCGGTTCCGTTCGCCCGCTATATCGAGCCCGCAGTCATCCTCCCGTCCGGCGCAATCATAGACGTCGATCCGAACCGCGTGAGATCGGACGGCTCTGAATTCACGCCTACGTGGATAAGTAAGACTGCGTTCTGCGGTCTTGATTGCCGCATGATTGCGACAATCATTGCCGACGAAATTGCGCCGCTAGACAATGATTGCCCGCGGACTGCGCATCAAACCGAAGGATGCCAAGTGTCGCGCCAAGGGTTTTTCCTGGATATTCATTTATTTTAAATGATTTTAAAGCTATTTTCTTTAAATAATTCATAATAAATATAATTTTCAGCAAAAACTACCTATAATATATCAAATTGATCGTATTTTAATCCTCTTTAATTTAAAATTTTTTTAATTAAAAATATTATGTATATTTTAAAATATTAATAAATTAGTAAAATTCTTTTTCAAAAATCCATATCTTTTCCGTTTTGAATCCGGTTTTGACGGATAATACCTTAATATTTCCAGAAAAATATTTATTTTCTTTTAAAAATATTTTTAGATATTAAAAATTATTTTTTTGGCATATTTATGTATTATATAATTGTTTAATTATTATTTAAATAATTAATATAATAATTATTTTGAAACTAAAAATTATTTTCAATTCCTTTTAGAAACCTCGTTCAGGTGGCAAGTGGATGTCCCCTATATCTATCTACTATGAATTGATTTATTTTTAATTACATTATTTTCTAAAATTTATATATTTATATGTATTTTAAATTATTTTAAAATTACTTATATTATTTAAATCCTAATTCTATGAGATCCGCTTCATGAAATTTTAAACATGGATTGCACACATTAATAGCATTCATGAGAGAGGTGAATTAGTGGGTGGTTGAGTTCCAACCATTAACTGATTCCACCGATAATCACGTTTATTTTATTTTATCGTCTTTTGTATGTGTAGGATGCATGAGCACCTAGTTTAGGCTCTCCTATATCTAAGGACTTGGTGTGTTTATATTTCGTTGCATTACCCCTCTATATTACCTTAGGGATTAGTCCAAAACTCAGTTTTAAATCCAGTTAATGTAGTGACACCCTAAGGACAATAATTAAGGACCCGTCTAGCGAATTTAGAAAAATTTTAGGAGGTAAGATAGATCCATGATTGACATAAAAACTTCAACATTTCAACTTAGTGACATCTCAAATCGTATATATTACTACCCATCGGGATGTGTTGGCGAGAGCCCCTATCCCCAATGGTTAGTCTTATGTACGATCTAATCTGCCCTTCCATTGGCCCGTTTGCGAGGAGCGCAAAGGCCTGCGATCGTCCCTATCCCTCGGGGTCGTGCGGTCATGTACCCTTTGCACTCTGCAGTTGGCGGTGTCCTTTCGGAGGTCCACAGCACTGGCAGAGAATTGAGATCAATAAACTCAGACAAATTCCTTCCAGTGCAACAAGGATCACATATTATGGATGATTTGTTAGCATTGCTCACATTGAAAGATATAGAGCTCATGTAATTAGCAAAAATATTGATCAAATTGTTCCAACAGTTGCAAGCTTTTAATGATTCCGTCTTCCATAGGGAAGTATATTTGCAGTTACACAATATGGCAAGGAAAACATCACCAGGAAAAAGCCATTGTACGAGGAAGCAACAATAAGCATGATTTATAACATTTAGAGAAGGAAAGCCTAAGCCACCGTCTTTTTTTTTGGTAAGTTTCGTTGAAAGAGATCAAATGAAGCTTCTTAGTGTCAATATCTCCATGAAATAAAAATCTAGAGCACAAATTTAAGACATAACAATCTTAGAATAGACAAACCAAATAAAAGGATAACGATGATCATGATGGTTGGTGTCAAACCATATATCATAGCATGTGATGGAAAACGTGGCATATTTGATAAACACTTGTACCAATTCTTAACAGGCATTCATACATACACTTTCCATGCGATTGGTAATGAATGACATATTTTATCTCAATTTTTACATTAAAATTTGGATTGCATATTTTTTGACATAAACCATGAAAAAATTCAGATAATCACAAATTTTTATATATACGGGATTGTTTCAAAGCAACATAAACTAAGACACGGAACTAATTTACGGTCTAAGGAACCATCCATTTTAGATTTTAGATTTAATATTTGAGAATTGGACAACATATAAATTGAAATTATCCAAAGGGATTTCACTTATTTAGTAAGAATGATTTAGCTGAATTTATCTTCCTGCCCAGTTTTAATCAGTTCAAATTTGAGGAAATTAATAAGGGAAACAAACATGTCCATTTGAAGGAGAAACAAGGCAATATACAATCATTTGGTTCTAACAAGAAAGAATAAATTGCTAGATAATTTAAGAGAGAAATCAACCACTTACCATTGCTGTTCTTGGAGAGAGATGAGGTATTGCACGCAAGAAGAGAGAAGGGATAGCCGGGGTGGACGGTCTCAAGAGCAAGGAAAAAAAAGGTTGGACTGCATGCGAGTAAGAAGAGGGAAAGACGGGACGCGGGAAGGTAGGCTTCGTTAGTGAGAAGGCTTTGTGAAAAACTTATTTTGCTACTCTATCAAAGGAGCAGGTCTGAAGAGTTCCAAAATCAGTGAGGAGTGGATCTGAAGAGGAGCGAAATAACCCAAAGAAGCGATGGCAGAGGTTTATAAAGAAGTTCCTCACTGAAGCCATCGCTAAATCAAAAACCGCTCATCAGTGAAACCGAAGGGGAGAAGCGTTTAAATTTGTTTTTGTTTAATGGCTCGACACTAAAAACATGAAGATTAGAGAAACAGTTTGTTTAATGTAATTAAAAATTTCGCTCACCAGTGAAATAAATGGTTGAATAAATATTTTGTAGAAAGCAAAATATGAAGAGTGCTAAATGAACGTTTAAGATTATTTTAAAATTTATAAATAAATAATTAGAATTTGATAAGAGTGAAATCTCAAGCCATTAGTATTATAGATAATATAGATTGGCCTCTAGGTTTTGGAACAATTATTACGTCCTCCGATCGGACGTAGAGGAACGTCCGGTCGGAGGCCAAATCACGTCAAAAAATAAGAAATACTGAGCAAAAACCGAGCAATACCAAACAATAACGAAGAATACCATCACGTGAAGACCCAATACCGAGTTATACCGAGCTATACCGAGCAATACCGAGTTATACAAAAGTTGTACCGAGTTTTTCTCGGTATAACCCGATATAGCTCAGTATAACTCGATATTAATCTTCAAAGAACAATATTCCTCATTATTATCAAATAATACCTATTCTACGTCCTTACACCGGAGGTTCCTAGGTTTTGCTTTTCCCCTTCTCTATTTCGTGGTTGCTGTTCGGCGTCGTTGCTTCTCTATTTCGTGGTTGCTGTTCGGCGTCGTTGCTTCGACAACCCCTTCGCGCGCTTTTATTCGGCTTCCTTCCTATCGGATCGGAAGTCACGACAGTTCGACGTTCTTCCTGTTGGATCGGAAGTAACGACGGGAGCTCGCTCTCTGTGAAGGTTACTATCTTCTCGCTTTCGCGCGCTTCTTTGGCCAAATCCCGTAAATCTGGGATTTACGGGAAAAAGAGGGAAACGGAGGATTTATTGGGCCGTGAGATTTACTGGGTGATCAAATCCCGTTTGGCAGGATTTAGCATAAATCCCGCTCATATCATGCATAAAACCTGTTAAATCCTGTTGCCAAACAGCCGATTAGCTAGTTCTCATTTTGACAGTTCGATTTGCGGGGTTGGTTGTTAGGTTTAGGGTTTTGTGGAGCTTTTGCTCTTGGATATATAGTTTTCCGTTTTAATACAAGATGTTTTCTTTCTTCTAACTTAGTATTTCTTTTTCTTTGTTTTGTCCTATCGTTAGGTGAAGTAAGAGAAACAAAACAAGGAATCAGGATGGTGAGTTTTGTTAAACTAAACTTTTCATACGCAGTTTTTTGTTATATGGATTAATTATGGATAAGATTTTGGTTTTTTTCTTTTCTCCTTTTTTCCGTTAGCGAGTCCTGTTATATGCAGTAACATTAACAACTTTGGTCCGATGATCCTAAAGATTGCCTAAAAAAGCTCACCAGAAAGTTGTTATTCATATTTACCTATAGGCTGTAGGCATTGCATTTCTTCTTAGTAGATGAAGAATCTTGATGCTAAAACCTTTTTTTTTTTCTTTTGATGATCTGGATTTGTAGGCTGTGATCTATGCTAGCCTTTTTTATTATAGTATCTTCTTACAATAGTTGTGCTTCATGTTTGTTTCAGTCCGGTAGGAAGGAAACAGCTTTAGATTTGGCAAAGTTTGTTGACAAGGGTGTCCAAGTCAAATTAACTGGTGGAAGGCAAGGTTTGTTATGGAGAGGTTCCTTTGCATCTGCTTCAGATTTTACTTTGTTGTTTGATTTTCTTGTTCTAATGTTTAATAAGTTAGTTCTGTTACATTTTTTTTTTCTGCAGATATTCTTTCATTAGCATTACATATCACTATGTTTTATTTATTAATGTTGAGATGTTAAATAAGTTGATTCCTTTTAATGATTATACATCATTAAAAATCAACTTGATCAAGCACGAATCTTGATGTACATCTAAATGGGAAGCTTCTATAATTAAATTTTTGGTTTTTTGAACTCTGATTTTAACAAACTTATTATCAGATTGATCAGCTCACCGATAGAACCCAACAACACTAAAAGTGGTCCGATTCGGTTCCAAATGAACCTAGATTAAACACTTGAGGTGTGATGAAAAATTTTAGAATATTAATTGAAGGACCAAATTATGTTTAAATTTGACATGCTTATAGTCGAATCAAGCGGCTTAATGAGACGAATTCCAAGATCATTCAATTCCAGCAACGTTAAGATACTTAAGTGTTGAGTGAACAATTTATGATTAAGAGGATCAATACGAGTCATTCGATGGAGTGTTCTAAATTTTCTTCATATTTACATGGAATGTCACTCCAAAAAATCTATAAATAGGTCTCTACTATCGATATAAGGGAGATTATTTGGCTAGTGATTCAAAAGAGCTTAAAGAATTGACCAATGAACTTTCATCGACGACAGTTACCATTTGACTTTTACTGCCCAACCGCCGTTGTTAAACCTTCTCCACCATTGGCTTTTTTCTGCCGAACGCCACCTTCGAATCTTTCACCATCCAACCACCACCATCAGACCTTTTGCCAGCCGAATGCCACCATCAGACCTTCACCACCATTGATCTTCACTAGCCAACCACGGTCGTCGAACCTTCATCGCCTGTGTGATGACGGACATTCGTCGCCCGACCACTACTTTTGAACCCTTTCTTGATTGATCGTAGTTGTTGGACCTTTGTCGGTTGACTTCTGCCATTGAAGCTCCATTGGCCTATTGTTGCTGTATGATCTTTGTTGTCCAACCGTCACACTAGAATCTTTGTCATTCGACCATCGTCATCTGAGTTTTTTTTGGTCGATGACCGCCATCAAACCTTTGCCGCACAACCGCCGCCATAGGACCTTCACCACCCAACTGTCATCGTCGAACCTTGGCCCCAATCGTCTCTTTCGATCCTTCGCCACCCGACCAACGTCGTCGAACCTTCGCCACTTGACCGCCGCTGTCAGACCTTCGCCACTTGACTGCCGCCGTCGGACTTTTCACCGCCTGACTACCATTATTGGACCTTTCACCGCCCAATTGCTGTTGTCAGACCTTTGTAATTAAAACTAACAAAATGGAATCATCTTAGCTGGGCAATGCCTTATTGTTTATCCTTTTTTCATGTTCCAACATAAAAACTCAAGTGTTATCTATGTTCTTTTATTTATTTGTTTGTGCGTTGGATCTTTCTGTAAAGTAAGGATGCAAAATTATCTCACTCTACTGTGAATTTCTTGCTTGCAACAAATAAAATTTTATGTTTATTTCCATTTTTATGCTTATATCCATTACTATCAAGGAAAGTAATGTATTTAGTATTGTTGGGAGAAGCTAGATAAAGTTGTTTTAACTTTTGAAACAGAATTTGAGGATTAAAAAGAAGCTAAGTTGAGCATCTTCTATATGTTGACATCCTTACCTGACATTTTGGTGTTTGTTATTATTCTCCTTTTCTCTCATTGTCTAAAGTTCTCTTTTAGAAAAGAGTTAATCTAAAATTGTGTGTTCAATTTATGATGTGAATAAGATATCTAAAATAAAAATCATCAAACATATAAAAGATGATGTGCAGACTGCATCTTTTTCTCAACTGATAAAAAACCATCATTTTAAAAAATCATGGATATTTGGGTATACATTGGGATAGTCGCAAGTGTTCAATATTGAGGGTTTTGTGTATATATTTTTAGGAAATTACATTTAGCTTTTTAATAATCATGATCTACTTGCAATAAAGCACCTGTACGTTAAGTCTAAAGCACTGGGTCACTAAAGTATCATTGAAGATGATATCTTCTCCCATATAATCTTTTTTTTTTTTCTTTCTGATATGTGTCAATAGCATTTTTAACTAATTCTACTAAATATTTTTCGATTTGGCAAAGTTCTTGCATGCTATTACCCTCATTATCCTTATTATTCATAAGAGCTTGTAATTAACCTTATGCAATCTACAAGCTGTCTTGGAAATTAGATAAAATCTAATTCAATAGAAAGAAATAAACTCAAAGAAAATGATACTATTTTGCCCAATTTACAGCTACGTTATACTAAGTATTCTTCATTATATGCAAAAGGTAGCTGGAGCAGGATGTATTATATCAATATTGCCCTATAGTAAGGAATTAATTATCTTCCTTTATCAGCTCATGAAATTTATATAAATGAGTAAGAGATTGTCCCAATAACAGTGCTATTGCCCTTATTACTTCGTGCAAATAATAACAAACGTTGAGATTCAACTCGTAAGAATAGACTTCAAAAGTGCATGTTTACTAATCGGTCTAATACATTCTTTGCAGTTAGTGGGACTTTGAAGGGATATGATCAACTGCTAAATCTGGTTCTTGATGAAGCAATAGAGTTTCTTAGAGGTATTTTCCAGTAGACATGTTTGTTTGATATTTTATTGAGCTTTTTGTTTGCTTAATCAAATAATTTATTTTGATATTTGAACTGTTCATTGCATCATAAAATAAAACATTACTATATTGGGTGGCTTGAAAGTTTTCATTTATCTCACATATTTAACTATCAACTAGTATTTATTTGATTAGTAGTGCATTTGATAACTGTTGTTATAAATCATGATTAAGGCTTTATTTTAGTTCCGTAGTGCACCTTGGAGAGTCATCCCCATTCCCCATGATGTTTCTGGTCCTGTCCCCTTAGGGCGGGTTCTGAAATATCACTTTTTCAGTGGGTAGGTGGATTGCGTGCATACTGCCTCCCAAGCAAAGACTAGAATACTAATAATTTAATAGGATGATGGTTTGGAATATTGGCTTAAAATAATTATAAATTGTTGAAAAATTAATACTAAGGTTGTAAAAATGCAAGTCCCTGCAACTTTAACAATCACAGGAACTGAATTCAGAAGAGAGTTCTTTCAAATCGACCAAATATCACTACAACTTCATTGTAACTTGCTCCAAATTTGGGGTCCTAACATTTGCATTGAAACCAATTGGCCCAAGTGTGTTTTGTCTGTGAACTTGATGTAGATTTCCTAAATGAATACCTCACTAAAGTTAAATATCCCAATTAACCCGGCAAGAGGAAAAGTTCATGGATTCTTTCAATGATTTGTTCTTTTTGGATGTACAATAGACAAGAAATAAAGATTTATTTGGTTTTTTATTCATATTAATCAACTTTTCTTTTTTGTTCAGATCCTGATGATCCTTTGAAGACTACTGATCAAACTAGACGTCTTGGCCTAATAGTATGCCCCTTTCTTCCCTCTATACATGTGCTCATGCATGTGCTTTTGTGTACTTGTTCATGTTTGAGGTTTATGAATCTTTCAACAATGAATTTAATTCCTTTTGTCATCTTCCAAAACTGCTTGGATTGATTTATTTTTACTATTTTTAGCATGCAAACACAATACGCTTACAATAAAGATATTTTGAAGGTGATCCAAGAAATGCAGGAAGGTTTAGGGTGTTGTTTTATAATTTGACTAGAATGTTATAATGTATGCAGACTACGAAAGATAACCTTGAATTCATAGATTATGTACCACCAAATGCACAAAACTTATTTTATTTTGATTCAAATTAGCAAATACAAGGATTAAAATCCAAATGATAATGCACGATTGAAAAAATCCGTAGAAATCAAGGGGAAATTTGAACCATAGAAAATTAGTGAGTAATTAAAATTTATTCCCCACAATTATAAGTCTAATTGTATTAGATTTGAACAAGTTTAGAAACACTAGTGATGGGTTGGCGGTGGTAGGATCTTGATGACAAGGCACATTCTATGCTTTGATGGTGCCATGTGGTGATGTGGGGAGACCTTGGAATGGCGAAGGTTTATAGGAGGCTAGAGTTTGTATTTCTTTATGTGTTTACTACAGGTAAATATCTTGTGGAATTATTTTGTTGGTGCTAAGGAATTAGGTTGGTTTGGATATGACTTGTGGAGGTTATGACCAAGGGACTGAAGGTGTATCCAGTTTATGATTAATGCCGAGGGAAGTATCGAGCATGTTGGAAGTGGTGGGATTTAAGTTAGGATTTTTTGTGGAGGGAAATTCTAAAGATGTTTGATTTAGGCTTTGTTTGGGACGGCTTTCTTACTGTTTTATAAAGCTGCTTTCTAGTTTAAAAATTAAATTTTTTGAACTAAAAATCTGCTTTAAGAAGTAATAAGAAAGTCATCCCAAACGAAGCCTAAAGCTTTGGTGTTGAGGGATGAGGTAGGAGGAGGTCAAGACCTTTGGTAGATGTTTTGGACGACCTTAGGATTAAAGAGAGACTGTTGGCAGCAGCTTGGTTTGTGTAGGGATGTGACAAATTGAGAGCTGGAAGGAGAGTGGGAATAGAACTCAAAGAAACATAATGTCTTGAACTCATTAAAGTCAAGGTTGGATTGACCCCTCAACTTCGACTACCAATATTCTAGAAGATATTTGCTCACAAGCAACGAACAAAGTTAAATATTCATTCAATTAAATAATAACGAGTACATGAGATCCTTTTTATGGAGAAACAAACCAAAATATATTAATAAGCATGTGCAAAATTTAGTCAAGATATAAAAGAAAGGAGATGGCTTCAATTGCAATTAAATCTTCATGCCTTTGTTTTGATTGGTTGACCAAGGAGATTTAGAGGGAGTGCTAAGTTGTCTCTCTCCTTTGTCTTGCTTAATTTGTTTATAGATTGACTGTACTTGTATGGCTTTGAATTTCAAGGTGGTGGAGCTGGCCAACTATGATCAAATTTGTCATGAAGTTTCTAATGATGGTGATGATCATGATTTAGAATCTTTCCGTAGTGCTCTTATTCATACCTTAATCTTTGTTTTCTTCCATCCATTGATTAAAACGGCGTTTGAGGTACACACCTTAGGGCTTGCCTCATTTTGAGGCACCAAAAAATTGCCAGGTCTGAGTATGGCTTATGCCTTTTTTAATTGAGGCATTTGTCGTAGACGTTCCAAATTATTTTTTCTTAAATATTTTCTATTTTATTTGTATCTGTTTATGAAATTTTTTGATATATTACTGCTTGTTAATCTTCTTATTTTCTTCGTATAATATTTTATTTTTCTTCTAAATGTTTTTTTTTTCATTCTTTTCAAAATTTTTTTACTAATTTTCGTTGTTTTTTTTTCTTTTAAATGCACTTATTTTCATTTTCTCTCTCTTTTTTTTACTGTTTTTTATTGATTTTTGTAAATGTTTAACTATTTGTTATATTGTTATTTTTTAATTTATTATAATGGTTGGTGGTGTTGGAAGAGTTTGTCATTTAAGATTGAGATTTTTTTTATTATGTGATTTTGATATTTACGATGATGAATTAAGTTATTTATTGATAGGTTATAACATATTTATGAATTGTTTTTAATTTATGTTTTTTTTTTTTAATTTTCTTAATTTTTCTTGGAGGCATGCCTGACTTTTATAAGGCAAAAAAGCCTCAGTTCTAGATTTCAGCTTTTCAAACTTTGGTTGCATCAATTTTATGACACATCCAAGCATTCTACTTCTTTAAGTGCTTGGATTTTCCTTGTGTCTGCAAGAGATGGTAGAGTTCCTGTGGCTGTTGGAGCTTCATCTGTGAAGTTGACTCTAATTAGTGGGTGATCTATATGTACATGCTCCATACTTGTTTGGGTTATTCATTTGTCTGTAGGAGTTGGTAGATTGTCTGTATCTATACGAGCATCATTTGGTTTGTTAAGAAATCTATGGGTGGATGTCTTCTACAAGTGATTGGTCTGTAAGTCCCAATGCTTTATAAGTCCTTTAGATGATAAATATTAAGTGCAATAAAAATAATAGTAGAAAATAGGTTATTAGGCAAAACTAGAAAATTATTCTTATATTTTAGTTTTTATTTTCTTGACATTTGTCTTTAACAAATTGCTTAAAAGATCGATTCAACTTAGCTTTATAGCATTCAAAAAACAGTTCTTAATGCATTTGTTATATGTGGAATACATCATAAGAGAACCTATTATGTATATGCATACACTAAGGTCTAAGGTTTCATTTGGGATGGCTTTTTTACTGCTTCTTAAAGCGGCTTTATAGTATAAAAAATTAAACTTTTGTACTAAGAAGCTGTTTTAGGAAGCAGTAAGAAAGCCATCCCAAACGAAGCCAGACATCTTTCTTATTGCTTTTTAAAGGAATTTTTTAGTACAAGAACTTCTTGAACTAAAAAAAAATTTGTACTAGAAAATTGTTTTAGGAAGGAACGAAGAAGTTGTCCCAAACAAAGCCTAAAAAAAATGGGATAAAACATTCTAAATTGCATTAAATCATTTTAGGGGGAAAACAAAAAACTTCCTGTCCTAAATCCGGGCTTCATTTTGTTACACAGGTTTGCAGGGGAACTGCTGTGATGCTTGTTTCACCGACTGATGGCACAGATGAAATTGCCAACCCGTTTATCCAGCCTGAAGGCGCATAAGCTGAGTGCTTATTTATAACTTGGCATCACCACCTTTTATTTGGTATTGGTATGCCCATCTTGTATGTGTATCAGGTGTAGCTGTCTTCTACATCTTCAGAAATATGAAATTCGGTTAGATGTTTTATGTGATGTGAGCTCTTATGCTGTGTTTTAATGGAGGTCCAGCTAATTTTTATAAGAAACCTTTCTCAACTATGTCTAAAGAAGTTCAACCAGCCTTTCATATATATGAAGTTTATATTTTTCAACTGACCGGATTTGAGTATTCACTCAATCAGGGGCGGAACTAGCTTTAGTTCTCAGGGGATGTGCAATTGCCCCCCTTGCCCCCCTCACCACTGTGATTAATTATTCTTTGCGAACGCTGAAAGCTATATGGAGACCAACCAGAATGAGCAACATCATCCATGTGTTTGATATCGCGGTTCAGTACCGCTAACGTGATACATTCATGTTGGTCTCTGAATGGCATTCTCCGTTTGGTCTCCACATAAAATAATTTCTCCACCACGACACAGTTTAGCCCCTACACAGCCAACAAAACAAAAATCCTCAATAATATCATTTCTCCATATTAGAATTCTCAATAATTAAAAAATCAATCTCAAAATAATTAATTTTTAATTTGCATACTATATAAATAATTTCAACTTTTAAATTAATAGCTAAGTTATTTTAACTTTCTTTTACATGAGTTAATTTTAAATTAACATAATATATACATTAACTTAATAAATAGACTTTTTGAATAATTATTTTGTATTTAACATATGCTCTTCATTTTATAATATAAACTAATCTGCTTAATTGATTTATTACTAAATTTAATTTATAACAATATTAATCTATTATTATGTCAATAAGAAAAATATTAATCTGTTAAAAAATATTTAAATTTACTTTAATTTAATAAATGTTGCGTATAAAGCTACTATATTAAATATTATTAAATATAACAATTTTAATTATTAATAATTAATTTAATTTTATCTTAAACATTTGGTCAACTCCTCGCCTTGCCACGCCACGCCGCCAATCTATCGTGCAAGCAAAAGGAACAATTATTATGTCATCTGACAGGACGTAGAGCTACGTTCGGCCGCCAATAATATGTCGACACGTGCTCTTACTCTTTACTGTGCGACCCGACGACTTGACCCGGATTGGAACCCGGGAATGCTATATTCGCGTATTGCGAGGTATTACTCGGTATTGCTCGGTATTGCTATGTATTACTTGGCAATAACGAGAAATACCGCTCTATGAATACCAATACCGAGCAATACCGAGTTGTACCGAGTTTTTCTTGAAAAACTCGGTACAACTCGGTATTACTCGGTATTTTTTCTAGAAAAACCCGGTACAACTCGGTATTGCTCGGTATTTGCTCGGTATTTGTTCAGTATTGGTTATTGTCGAGCAAAATCGACCAATACCTAGCAATACTGAGCAGTACCGAGCAATACCTAGCAAAATCGAGAAATACCGAGCCATCCTGGATCCGTTCCGGGTCGGGTTGTCGGGGCGTAAATAGTGAGAACGCGTGGCACGATTCTGCTGGCGGCCGAACGTAGAGCTACGTCCGGTGACCGGACCAAATAAAAGTTCAAGCAAAAGACGCCAAAAATATTTGACAAAAATTTCACTTTATATAGAAAATGTCAAGCATTTTATGTTTCATACGCACTATGCTATATCATTTAGTGATTCTGCTTCTATTTAAATTAACCTTTAATCACACTCATTCTCATAATATAATTTTACCGTAAGCTCTTTTCTACCAAAAAGATTAGTATTTTTAAAGAAAAAGTCAAATTATTTGATTTTTTTACTTCTTTTTAAAATTATTAATAATCATGCTTCCTTTCTTTAATTCCTTTATAATAAGCTCTTTTTTTTTTAAATAACCCTAAAAAAACTCACCAAAAACTCAAAGCAACAACACAGTGGTCTTAAAAGTTAAAACTTTTAATTTAAGGAATTTTTTATTAATTTTTATTCAATTTATTTTAGCGGCACACTAGATCCTGATTTGGGTTGGGCTTATTTACGCCGTTTTCCGGTTCTAATCATTTTGTTAGTCGTAAAAAATATAAATCACATCTATCTAGGGTTTCTCTCGTTCGCCTCCTCCATCCTCTCGTGATGGCGCCAAAGAAGCGAACCACAAGTCGTAACCAAGATCTGATCCGCGGGATCGGTAAGCTGTCACGATCGAAGATGTATCACAAGCGCGGCCTTTGGGCCATTAAAGCGAAAAACGGCGGCGTCTTTCCTCGGCACGAGCCGCAGGCTAAACCAGAAAAGCCTGCGGAGAAGCCACCGAAGTATTACCCAGCCGACGATGTGAAGGTTTCTACTCGTGTTCACCGCAAGCACAAGCCAACCAAGCTCAGGTTTGTAGGCATCTTTGGCTTCTGGTATTTATTTAATGGAAAAAAACTGACTTTTGCTGTTTGATACTGATCTAATGGTTTATTGATGCGCGCATTTGGGGATTAGGGCTAGTATCACGCCGGGCACGGTACTGATTCTTCTTGCCGGGAGGTTTATGGGAAAGAGGGTGGTTTTCCTAAAACAGCTACCTTCTGGATTGCTTCTGATTACTGGTGAGATTTATTTTTTTATTTATTTTGCTTACTGAATCGGTGAGAGCAATAGAATTTTAAAGCAAATTTTAAATTATTAAGAAGAACTGATCTTAGTTATGATTCAGTAGTAATGTGGCAATCAATATGGATCTGGTTCACATTAATTATTAGTGACATGGATGGTGGAAATATGTTTGCTTCAGTACAATGTATGTTTTTACATTTGTTTGAAATCTTACCTATCTAGTAAATGATTGATGCTATTATTTATTTAGTTACATTTTGATGTATTTAGAAGGAATAAAATATAAAAACAATCTTGATAGTAGTTTCTCTGACTAGATTAGAACTCTTCAGCAAGTCCCTCAGAGATAATTTAGTGATCATGGGATATTCTATCTTTAACTGATTGAAAATTTACTACATTATTGCTTAGCTTAGCCTTATGGATGTTGTCAACATTGATATTGGGCATAAGGAGTGGGAGTGATGCTATTGATTTTTCTCTAAGTGGGTTGGGGGGAAATGATATTCAAATATAATGTTGAACTTGCTATTGATAATTTGCAACTCTAATTCTAGTTTAACTGTTATTTCTCAATCTTTATCTTCATTTGCTTTTTTTTTTTCGCGGTATCTTACACACTGATTATAGTATGTTCAAACTTTATTAAATGTGCTCATATATTATGTTACCTAAATAAATTTTTGTGTGTGCATCTTATGAGCCAACCTGGATTGTCTGTTTATTCCTGAACTTTTAGTAGTACACACATGCTACAAGGGATAAGTATGAATGCAAGGGTTATTGAGTTGAGTTTGAATGAGCAAACTTCAGCAAAAAAGGAAATATTCTATTTTCGCTTCAATCTCATTTGATTCATTAAAAATTATCAATTTTGAGTTGGTCTGCAGTAGATTAAAACCAAAGCTCTTAATAAAAAAATATTTATAGAATTCTAAAATGATAACATATATATAAATATATATGCATTCATTACAATAAAATGCTACAAATGGTGGGAGCTCTATTTTATCAATATTTTTGATTAATTTAGTTGTATTATTTTTGGTCTTTCCATTTTCCTTATTCCTTCCGGAGTAGTTATATGCTCTCCTTATTATTGCATACCCCCTTTATTTTACATGCCTAAGAGACAACCTTATTCAATGATATATTTAGTAGGTATTTGATAGAAAATACTTGAAGATTTCAAGTAAATCCTATCAATTTTGAAAAAAACAAAACAGCGAGAAACTCTTCCAAACTCTAATGAAAATCAGAAAAATAGTAATTTTATTGAAAGAATCAAATAGAACGGAAGAAAATAACAAGGTATAATTGATCCTCCATTCGAGAGGAGGATCTATCTCTTCCAAATCTCTAGACGCCACTAGAGCCCAAAAGAAACCTAAGAGAACTCAAATTTCAGTCATATTCAAGATGCCCTAACCCTAGGAAAACAAACTATTTAATGCATACAATCCAATAATTATAAAAAATGCATACAGTCCAAAAGGAAATCTCTAAACAATCCTTACCTTCAAATTTCCCTCCTAACTCCCTAAAAAATCCTTCCTAAACAGCTCCCTTGGCCCGAGCGTGCATTCGACGCGTACAGGAGAGGCGAAAGAGTCCGCTAGTTTTGCATGTAAGCTGGTCTTGTATGGACCGGCTGTACCGGTCTAACAGTATTATTCCCATCTTTTTTATAATGTAATGATTCTTCAATATTTTTTTTTTGGCAATCGTTAACATTTTCATTTTTGTATATAATAATTCAGTTCATTAACGCCTTAGACTTTGTTGGCATTGATTTTATTTCTTGTTTTCTATGCTATATGGTGTTGTTTTGTGCCGAGCTGTCAAGTAAAGTTGATGATTGTTTGTTAAAATCATATTAAATTTGCTTTGTAAAGTGCTGTAAGCTTTGTAGTTTGTTGGTAAATTAATGTCGGGCATTCATGAGTTGATAGAATAACCTAACCTTAATTTGTTTATAATGAAATTAAAGTAATACTTAATTAACCAATGAGATAGAATAATTAAAAATTATAAAAATACATTTCTTTAGTTGTTACAAAAAACAATATAAAATTAATTGTACTGGTCAAGGAAGAAAAAGCGGGGAATAGAAAATATGCCAAATGGAGCCTCATTTAACCACCATTCATATTCATAAAGCATAGTTATATCTAATTGCAATTGTATGAATTTTACGTTTAAATCTTCATAGAATTTCTTTATTCCATAGTACGAGTGCATCCTCCATTTAACCAACTAGTGTTAAATTTAAAAGTTATGTATTCATTGATCTCTTTTGGTTTTTTCATAATAAACCCATTTTATTTAAATTAAATCTCAGCCGTTTGATCACGCCTCTTCATTTCTTCATTATTAAGCTCCCCGACATTGCCATTTCTTCTTCGACTTCGCATGCTTCATGTGAAGAGGAGTTTTGAAAGAGTTGTTAAAGAAGCTTCTTTTCCTTCTTCAATGACGTTGTTCCTGTCAGATTTAGAGTCATGACATGAGCTCACCGCGAGGGTAATGGTTTTTTTCTCCTTGCGCTTCACGTGCTTTGCATGAAGAAAAGTTTTGGAAGAGTCTATAAAAATCATTTTTACCTTCTTCT